TAAGGGTGGTTGAGATGATCTGGTCACTGGTGGGATCATGGACACCTGTCGGATGATGGAGGGAACAACTGGCAGGCAGAGGCATCCTATATAGACAAATGTGAGGGATTTTGGCCCCAGGGTACAGGCTGTGAGATACTACTACAAAGGGATGCATATGAATGAACAAAGGGACACATATGTATGATCAAAGGGATGCATACATGCAATATCACTAATACAAAGGGATTCAAAATAACGTAAAGGTATCAATTTACTACAAAGGAATTCAGTATGCAATATGCATCCTGTATTCATAATGACTATGGCTAGAGTGAAGAATCCAGAAATATCCTGTGACAGGCTGAAATACGTTTAACTTCCAAACTATAAGAGATAAAGGTATGGTTGTAGTGGGTGACTAGGGGTTATTTTACCTGAGGATTCCATTTTTGATGTCATTTTTACCATATCTTGAATGAATTAAGAGATAATAAGAAATTTTTATATTTTCTGCGTAGAAACACAGTATTATTTACCACACCGAGGGGCGTGCAATCAAACCCGCCCCTCCAGGAGGGGCGGGTTGGATCGCACGCCCCTTTTGGAGGGGCGGGGGTGTGGGCGTGCGGGGAGGGGAGGGGAGTGCGATTATCATCGCACGATATTTTAGGAAGAAATTGACATCCTCATTCCTTGAAATGCCAAAGATCTTGTCACATTTTTTCTTCTCTTTGATGCTCATCAGAAATTCAAAGAGCTGTTGAGCAGTTCTCAGTTCTTTATCAGATAATTGTTTCAAATTCAAAATGTCTGGTTTTGTTTCTATTTGGGCAAAACTCCAGTCAGCAGCATTGATTTCTCTATCTCTTTTCTGAGTTGGCTCTATGGAAAGGCTATTTTTGACTTTAGAATTGACAAAAACTTCTGATGTTTCTGGTGGGCTTATTTTGTTTTGTTGCAGGGTTGCCAATACCTTGTCACTTAAATTGAAACCACTCTTGTAATCATCATTTTCATGTTTTGGAAATTTGACACTTTCCTTCTTCTCACAGGAAGAGCTAGCCTTTCTCTTTTTGAAATTTAAAGGTCCAATTTTACGTTTAAAGAAATTAGGTGATTTTGATGTGGTGGGAAAGAAAGTGTGTGTGTAACCTTTTTCAAAAGGCTCAACTTTTTCTCTTTCTAAACTAATATCTGCTCCCAAAACCTTCAATGCTGGCACTTGCAATTCAGAAGAGGTTGTTTCAACTGAAAATTCCTGTTCTGGAGGTAACTCATTCAAATCAAAAACCAATCTCTCTTGACCTGGTGTTGGTTTGAGGAGGGTAAGCTGGCTTCTGTAAATGAGATATAATGAGAAAGTCAAGTACTTGAAAAAGTGAACCTTCATATTGAATTTTATTGTATCTTATGATGTTGAGAGTGAGAAATCCTTGATTTCTGATTATTTCCTGTGGATTAGCATTAGATTGATCAATGTATATAGACACTGTGTTGACCATTGAAATGAAGTTTTAGCTTCCCCTCACCTTGAAACATGTTACATCTGATTCAAATTTGTAGTAAAATCTGAATTTCATCATGAATTGTTACTAATTTTTCTATTTGATCTGACATGATTTATGAAGCCTCTCTCCTATTCCTATTTGTCCTCACATGAAAACTGTGTTTCAAATCCTTTTTCAAAAATTGTATACATGTATCAATAATCAATTGAAGAAAAGTGAAATCAGCCTAAGTCCAGCATGTTACCCATTACATAGCCCAATCAACTCTACATAGAGATGGCCGCTTCGCATCCGGATATCTGGCTGCTTTTTCTAGGTAAACCAGCATCCGCACCCGCATACGCCAGCGGCTATCCCCCCGCCTTAGCGGGTATCCAAGCGGGTATCCTCGGATACCCGCCCTTTAAAGGGCCGGCGAGGGACCGGCTGGAAGGTTTTCCTTCCAGCCGGCGAGGTACATGCTTGACAGCTGGAAGGATTTCCTTCCAGCCGTCGAGGTAGATGTGCCTTGTTGACTGAGGAAACCCTCCTGTCAACAAGGTACATGTACCTCGCCGACTGAGGAAACCCTCCTGTCAACAAGGTACATGTACCTCGCCGACTGAGGAAACCCTCCTGTCAACAAGGTACATGTACCTCGCCGACTGGAAGGAAATCCTTCCAGTCAACAAACCCTTCCAGCCGGCAAGGTACATGTACCTTGTCAACTGAGGAAACCCTCCTGTTGACGAGGTACATGTACCTTGCCGGCTGGAAGGGTTTGTTGACTGGAAGGATTTCCTTCCAGTCGGCGAGGTACATGTACCTTGTTGACAGGAGGGTTTCCTCAGTCGGCGAGGTACATGTACCTTGTTGACAGGAGGGTTTCCTCAGTCGGCGAGGTACATGTACCTTGTGGAAAAGGGGCCATCCGCAGCCGCTGGCACTGGCGGGTATGCGCCAGGGGATAGCGGGTATCCGCAACGATCACCCTTTGTCCATCTCTAACTCTACATCAGCCCCCTGAAGCACAGAAAGGGGCCATTTTATTTGGGTTGTAAAGATGATGAAGATACAGTGGAGCAGTGATCAATTTTACCTGATTTAACCTGCCATGTATTGAAAATTGAATTCTCCTGGTGAAATGGAAGGAGACAGGCATTTAGAGAGTCTTTTGCAAGACACGTTCTGAGAATCCTTAATATTTCTAGATCCCAATTTGCATCACCAGGTGGGGCAAGGTGTTTATAGCCTGGCGTGTAGTTACATGGCCCATGAAGTTTGCACGTCAGAGTTGATTTTCTCTAAGAGGGCTACAAAAAATGAAGTGGAAAGGGTTGAGAATCCCTTCACTATTCTTGATGGAAAAGCTCGCAGGGACAGGACACGTATTCAGGAGATTCTAAGACCAAACAAAGGGGGAGCTTTTATTCCACTGGCTCAGAGAGATAAGGGATCAGTTCTCTGTTTGTACATACAACTCTTTTAGATATATAAGGAAAGATGAAAGAGGAATCAGAAATGGAAAGGCTTACCTGGCTCAGAGAGATAAGGGATCAGTTCTCTGTGGAGCCAGGTCAGGATCTCAAACCAGAATGATTGTAACTAAAAAGGAATTTTAGTCTGTGACACTCCTTGTGAAACCCAACAGAGGAGGGGTTTTACATGAAGCAGTCTTTCAATCCAGTACAATAGTTCAAATGAAGAATGAGTGGATGATGGTAGTCAAATTCTCACCTTGATCTTGAGGCATGCATTGAAAGAAAGGCCAACTGAAAAGAAGGATTGCTCTTACTATCCAAATATTAACTGGAAAACACATGTCATAACAAATCAAACCATGTGAAGTTGTACTATCAATAGCATACAATTTTCACTTATTATTTAGTGATAAGAATCACAATGCAACCTACAAAAATAATTTTGAGATTGTTGAATCAAGTTTGCCATGTGAACAGAGTTGGTCTGCAGATTTATGAGAATCATAGGAAGTCCCAATATAAAAACTTGGAGGCTGAAGCAAAATAATATTCAATATTGGTCTTGATTTATCAAGGTGATAGAAACTAAACATGAAATAATTGATATGGGTTTGTGAGTAATAAACTCCAAATCATCAGGACCAAACAAAATCAGGAAAAGGTGTTTGGGAAAAGTGTCACTGCCATCTAGCAAGAATAAAACAGACGGAAATTTACTACTCTTATTTTGAAAACCATGAAAATTGACCATAACCAGAGAAACTCAGTTGATTTCAATGCATCAACAACTTTCTATCTTTGAATAAATTGGATCTGTTTAGGTCAAAAAACAATCAATTGAAAATTTTGAATCATAAGTATTATAAAGATTTTCTCTTTTTTCCTGGTTTCACAGAAATATTTTGATTAGGAATTTTGTGCATGATGGTATGATAATTAGAATAGAAGATGATCTTTTTGATGATCTCAACTAATTCCAGATGGTTTTCTAGTCTTTTTTCTGGACAAAAGGCTTGATCTCTGGATGTCTTCTTCACCCAATACTCCACAATCTTCCAAGCCATTGCAAGGTCTCTACGTGGCACGTTCATTATGTCAGGAGGGAAGGTTCTGTTTTCTTTGAAGTTCAATAAATCATGCAATTGATTTTCAAAATAATATTCATCCGTAGATGTCTGATCTTCACCAGAAACAATTCTATCCCAAAATTGTTTGAGGAATCCCACAATATCAATGAGATCTTTTTCTCCTATTAAGCCCCCCTGATGCTCACCAAAGAGTGAAATATACAAAATAATGAATGTTACTGTAATGCAAGTCAATTTTTTTATATATCTGATCCTGCAATTAAGTTGACCCAATCTAGACCATCCTGATGTTTTGGAAGAACTCTGGGATTTCAAGCCCAAATTCAATTCCAATTGATTGTGAATATCTGTGAAGAATCCCAAGTGCTTTCCAATTTGCAGTTTTTCATCAGAAATTCTCAATATTGTCCCAAGAATCATTGGGTCCCTCTTATGTGGTTGGATTGAATCTGGATATCCAAACTTTTTGGTCTTTATAACATATCTGAGCAATAAATTTACTTCCTCTTGCTTTGAACTACCAACAAAGTTCCTACTATTTTTCTGCTCTTTTATGCTGATCAGAAATTCAAATAGCTGCTGAGCAGATTTAATTTCTTCAGGAGAAAACTGGTTCCAATTGGAAACTTCTGTTTCTGGATCCACTTGAACAAAGCTCCAGTCAGAGACATTGATTTCTTTTTCTATTTTATGAATTGGTTCCAAGGAATGGCTATTCTGAACTTCAGACTTGAACAAATCTTTTGAGATTTCTTTTTGGTTTATTTCACTTTTTTTCAGTTTTGCTAATGATTTAACACTTGTAGTTACATCATTTCTGTTGTCCTTGTCTTCCTGCTTTGGAAATTTGATATTTTCCTTCTTCTCATAGGAAAATTCATTTCTTCTATTCTTGAAATGATTACCAAAACCAATATCATTTCCAAAGAAATCAGGTGAGGTGGTGGGACAGGAAGTATGTGTGTAACCTACATGAAATGGCTCAACTTCCACTTTTGCTCTTTTGAGAGTGTGAGTTTCCCCCAAAACCTTCAATGATGATAATTGAGATTCAGAAGAGATTGGTTCAATTTGAGATTCTTGATCTGCAGGTGACTCATTCACATCAAAAATATATTTCTCTTCCCCTGGTGTAGGTTTGAGGAGGGAAAGCAAGCTTCTATTCATTAGAGTCAACCCCACAGTCAAGTATTTGATAAAGTGAACCCGCATATTGATTCTGATTTTACTCTTTAATGTTGATAGATGGAAATCCTGGATGCTTACTCAATTTTATGTGGATTAGCAAGAGATTGCATATATTATATGAAGGCTTTTCTGACCATGAAAAGGAGCTTGTAGCTTCCCCTCATCTTGAAACATGTTCACTCTGATTCAAGTTTGTAATGAAGCCTGAATTCCATCATGTCTTGTTACTGAAAAATGGTAACAAAGCTGAAACTGTTTGATCAATTGAATTTGATCAGTGAAATAGATTTTTGGGCAAAGGGATCTGTTTCATTGAATTTTTGCTGATCATATCCCAGATTCAGAACCTGTATTCATCCCTGTCACTGTCATTTCAGTGTGATTCAGCAACTGGATTGGTTCCTGTCAGTGTTGTGTCTTCAAGTTCTGTTGCCACCGGCAGCCTGAATTTTTGGATTGTTTTCATTATAAAATGCTGATGTTTTGATCTTATTTTTGAATTTAAATCTCTGGATTTGCATTGCTTGACAAGGATTGTCTACACACATCCTGAAGATATTAAACCTTGTAAGGGCTTAAATACTTAAGTTTCCATGTTTCAAACCTGGCAAGCTTGTAGAAATGAAAAAAAAAATCAAAGTTTGAATAAAAAGGGGAACTTCATCTGTGACTCATGAAGCAAGGTTGAAGAGGCCTGAGTACTTGCATAAAGAGTAAAAGAACCTGCCAGATACATATATAGAAAGTGGTGGTTCATGCCTGGGGAGAGCTGACGTCGGCTGTTGGCTTGCGCGTCGAGTTGAGTGAATTTGATTACGTAATCCATTTTCCAGCCAAGCTCGATCACTTTCTCAAGGGGGCCGACCCATCATCATCCACATCCTCAACCGCAATAACAGCAAGACCAAACCCAGGAAACCGACTCATCTCCAAGATGTCGCGAAGCTCTTACGATAGGCACGCTTCCCTCTCTCCCTCTCTCTCTCTCTCGCATCAGGCTTCCGTTCCGACTTGCTGGCAAGATTCATGATTGGGTCGCAAAAACGCTTACCCTGTTTTCGTTCTTTTATTTCGTTGGGTATCTAGATTCTTGACCATCTTCTCGCCCGAGGGAAGGTTGTATCAAGTCGAATACGCCTTTAAAGCGATCTCCAACTCCGGCCAGACTTCGGTGGCTATCCGAGGAAACGATTGTTGCGTCGTGGCTACTCAAAAGAAAGTCCCTGTTAGTTTCTTGTTTGGTTTTGAGCAAGTTATTCATGAAGATATGGAGGATCAGTTTCTAAAATCAAATGATCTGTTTTTGAACTTTAACTGACAAATTTTGGTTTGTTGGTTTGTTGAACAGGATAAACTTCTAGATCCTAGCACAGTCACCCACTTGTTTAAGATTACTCCGGGTATTGGTTGTGTGATGACGGGTCTGATCGGTAATATATCCTTTTTTTTTGTGAGGATGAAAGACAGAATCTAATGCATGATCCGATCCTTTTCAAACAGCTGATGCAAGAGCTCAAGTCTCTAGAGCTCAATCAGAAGCCGCTGAATTTAGATATCAGTCAGTCATTATTTGCACCCATTATTTTCGTCCATCATTTCCCATTGTTTTTCAGAGTCCAGCCACCATATATTTAGACAAAAAGAAAAGAAAAAAAAATTAACTTACCCAAACTATGATGTCGTTCAGATACGGATATGAAATTCCTCCGGATATGCTGGCGAAAAGGCTGGCGAACATCAATCAGGTTTACACTCAAAGAGCGGCCACTCGTCCCTTAGGCATTGGTTCGTTAGCATCGTGCAATCCAAAGAGCGAGCCACCTCAATTTCTGACATCAAGAGTTCTCCATGGAACAAAAACCGGATTTGGACAGTAATGATTTTGATAGGCATCGACTCTGAGCGAGGGCCGCAATGTTTCAAGATCGACCCGGCCGGGTACTTTGTCGGGTACAAGGCCACGGCCGCAGGGACCAAGCAATCCGAGGCGGCCAACCATCTCGAGAAACAGTTCAAGAAAGAAGGCCCAAACGCAGTGAACTTGAACGGAAACGGGGCGATCGAATTGGCCATCACCACCCTCAATACCGTCCTAGCTACTGACTTCAAAGCGACCGAGATCGAGATCGGTTTGGTCACTAATGAGAACCCTGAGTTCAGAGTCGTACGTCGACTTTTTATAATGTTTTTTTTGTTGGACTTTCATTCTCATCTTCGTCGTGATGATTCTTCCGATGCCATCACTGACACGGTTTCGTGACTCCATCTATCTCTTTATCTCATACTTCGCAGCTTTCAACCGAGGAAGTTGATACTCATCTGCAACGAATTGGGGACCAAGATTGATAAACCAAATGTACGAAAATAAGCTTAGTTGTTGTTGTGGAATGTAACCCCCGAAGCCGGGACACACACCAGCCATCCTGATCTCCGATACTCATTATTCAGAGACCTCTGAGATCGGCTCAATCGAGATGAAGGATGCACTCCAAGGGGCAACAGCCATTTGAGCTAACCAGCGTGCAGGAAAACTCTGTCCAAGCGTAAAACAAAGATTGTATTATTCTCATTTTTGTTCTGGGATCATCCTGGGATTTTTCAGATCGGCTCGTTTGGCTTGAGTCGATTATTTATTTGCTTTGCCATCCTTCCAAAGATCAAGTCAAATACAACACCAAAAAGGTTCGACCACTCAGTGGAGGGAAAGGAACGCCATTGATCTCCGCCATACTTTGCGAAAGAAAATCAAACTAAATGATCAGATCTATGTCAAGGTGCCAAATGTTTTGGGCTTCTACAGTATCATAACCTCAGTGGTTGGGTGCCAGAGCAAAAAAAGACAACAACTTGGAGATTGTTCATGGCTTGCAGTTTTTTTCGGAGCCGGTGTTAAAAGGGTGGATAAAATCGACTGGCTATGGATGAGCAAAGATGGCAAACCTTAGCTTGTAGACATAATACCACATGGATGTATGTTGACCTTACAGTATGGGAATCTTAGTAGTGCTTGAGTGAGTTCTTTTTTCTCGTTGTAGTGATGGAGGCATGGAATATTATCAAGTCAAGTGTTGTTGAAAGTAACTTGCATCAAATCTGTGTGGAAGTGGCTTAATCCCACTAACCTAAAGAGAAAGGGATAGCCCTATTCCAGATGAGATAATGTTGGTTACATTTCCATGGGGAGATGGGGTTACTTTAATTGTATGTTCAGAGAACTTGACTTTTTTTGATATGGGGGGAGGGGGAGGGTTGAGGGTATAACAACAATTCTTGAGTAAGACGTCTATAGATGACCATGTGAACAAAAGCTGAGCAGGGAAAGTCAACACTAAGATTTTTTTCGATCCCCGATAGAGAAAAGGGGCGGCTAGAAGCTAACTCTAAAGAGGCAAGTACTCAAGAAGGGAAAGCTGGGGCATCAATCACAAGTTTCGGGAAAGTGTTTTCGAAGAAAGGCGTTGATAATAGGACGAAAGATGGGCTTTCAGGACCGAGAGATTGAAGCCGATCGAGTGGCGGAAATCGAGTCCGAAAAGCGTATACAACAGGCCTTCTTGGGCGCCGGATAAGTACGCCTGATCAGCCGTTCGTTGGGACTGATTATTAGTGGTTTGTCTGGCGAGAGTCGTTACATCGTCGATCGACTTGATCTTTTCTTCGCTAACGTTTGCAAAAAAAAAAAAAAGTGATTTAGGGTTAGGATATATGTATTCGAATGGGTAGGATTAAATTAATTTTCAAAGGGTGGTTGTAAGTATGAATATAGACTCAACAAGAGGGCCAAGATGTCCGAAGGACTCAAGTCGAACTTGGCGTTACCCCAGAGGCCTACGGCGGGGACTTGGAGAGCGAAGGAGTTAAGCTGAGCAAGATCGAGGCCGAGTTGGGGATGATCAGCTGGACGAGGAGGGGTATTTTTTTGGGGAGGTCGAGGGTGAGGCTGAGGAGGAGGAGGAGGAGGATTGGGATTGGAGGAAGAGAACTTCAACCAGAGTGCACGTTGATGGAAGGCTTGAGTCTGTTCCTCTAGAGGTCGAGAGAGGCGCAGCAGACGGCTCAAGGGGATCCCGGCATGGATCGAGAAGCCGAATAGACGGCGCAGCGGCCCGATCAGATCCAGTGAGCCTATCGAGTAGAACGTCAGCCGTAGGCTGCTCAGTTGCGCTTCGCTCAACGGCTTGTTCCGTTTTCTGGTCGAAGAAATCAGCCTCTTGAGGTGGGTGAGATGCTCCTTGGGAATCGTGATCCGTTTAATCGTGCTACAACCATCATCATCATTTTTTTGGTCAATTTTGTGGATAATGATCTGAGATAATGAGGTGAGCGAGTTGGGGAGAAGGATGCATTACTCAACTGTGTTAAGGTGAACAAGAACTTCAACGATTTGATGAATGAGAACGTGATCAGTCCGATCGAGATTGCCATTCGAGTGGATTGGTCCCAAAGCTTGAGCTCGAAATCCAGCCAATCACTCTTTGGATCCGACCTGTCCCCCATCACAAAAAAAAACAAAAACATTAAGGTCCATGTGAGATCATCTTTTAGCGATCTTTCTATAGTGTTCTTGAGATAAGATTGACACACCATACTGGCCCGGCTCCATGATGACGAATCTGATTGGCGACTAAACCACTATACGATTGCAGAGAAGGGGGGAAGGTCTAATTAGCAACTGATTTGAATCTGATGAAAGATGAAGGAAAGAACAGACCTTGTGATCAAGAGCCCGATGATACTGATTCCGATCCGATTAGGTGAGCCAGAGAAGTCGTCCTTCATGGACGCTTGATAGATGATGATCTGGTCCTCGAGTTCCTTCTGTCGGTTGTTGATGATCGTCAGCTTGGGCTGGGATGGTCGTGATAAGCTCCCCTGTTTCTTCTCCAGGTCTTTGATCCATCCCGGGATACTACTACTCCGCTCTGTCGTTGTTGAAGTGAATGCTCTTCTTGCTAGTCTTCTAGTGTCATCCCATATCGATCTTGTTGTTGTTGTTGACCTTCTCAAGCAGAACATGGTTGGTTGGTTTTGATATGGTCATCTCGAAGTTCCTTCTCAGATTTCCTGTATTTATACTCCTGAAGTCCTCTCCCCTCTTTTTTTTTTTTTTTTTTTTTTTTTTTTTTTTTTTTTTAAGTGAAATTTGGCCTATGGCATTGCTCACTATGAATCTTAGAAACATCATGATGAGAGAAAACAACTCCAAAATCTACTACACAACACATAAAGCTTAAGGTGAAATCAAGTCGTGGATTGAGGTCAAAACATATTTAAGTGGAGGTAAACAAAGAAATAGAGAAGAAAATAAGAGGAAATGAGAATCATTGAGGAGGAAGTTGATCTTGAAATCGATTTGTGCTGCGCAAGAACGTTGCCAAAGCCATCTCAGCTTTCCGATTGTTGAGAATTTTGTCGAGTCTTTCCGCTCTGAATCGAACTTTCTTGAGTCGGAGTTGTTTTCGAAGAATCACCCTCTGTTGCTTGAATTTCGGGCAGAAATTCATCAGATGGAACACCGTCTCCTTGGCCCCACAATTAGAGCAAAGAGGATCGAAGGCCCTGCAAATGCGAAAGAGGTGGCTTTTCAGTGCACAATGACCCGAATTTAGTTGATTGACCAGGGCGTTATAACCAATAGGTAAGTCCGAGGGTGTCGGTTTTCTAGTGGACAGGCCTTCCACCATCCTGCGAAGAACTTTCTTGTAATTGCTTTTGACTTCCAAAGTCTGCGTTGAGGGGGACTCCAACGCGTCTTTGGCCAGTTGATCTGCCAGTTCATTGCCTACAATGTCCCTGTGGCCCGGACACCAGACAAATGAGACCTTTAGGCTAGCCGGGAGGTCTGCGATGGCTTCATTAATTTGATTAAAAAGCCATTGCCCTGGCTTAGGAGAGGCTGGGTCCTTGGTTCTCAGGATGACACCCTGATTGTCGACTAAGATTACCACCCGTTGATGTTGTGAGTCTATGCATATCTCCTTGGCCAGCCTGACAGCAGCCAGAACCCCCACTGCTTCGCTTTCATGGTTTGACAAGATCGCCTTCTTCCCAAGAGCATACGAGCTGAAGACATTCAGAGCCGGGCAAAAAGCTGCACCTGCTCCTCCCTTTTCCGGGTGGAAGGACCCATCGCTGAAAACCAGCAACGCCCTTGGATCAGAAGAGTTTGAGGAAATGAGGGACTTAACCGAGATTATCGCTTCTTCCTTCGACAGCCCTAAATTGCTGTATTCCAGGTCTCTTGATGGTCGGGAGTCAAAATTAAAGGGGAGATGAATCCGCTCCGGATCCATTGCCATGGCTTCATCCACCAGTTGCGCCGAAAGACCTACTCCGGCCGCATCTGGGAACCGAACACCAGAGCTGGCTCTGCTAGACAGAATAAAAGAACGAACCACGTTACTAGTTTTCACCGTGATTATCTTTCTGTAGAAAAAAGAAAGGCTAGTCTTGACAACTTCACCAAAAAATAATGGAGCCGCCGATCTCGCTTGGATAAATTCGGAAGACGTTGACTTGAACACCCCAAGAGTGAAGATTCCCGTCAACCGATCCACCTTTTTGGCCAGTGCTTCAATCTTCCCCTTATTTGATCTTGTTGCCCAAAGTGCCGCGCCATAGGTAATCCTGGGGAACAGAATGCTTTTGATCAGTTTCAATCGATCTGGCTCCCTGGTGCCCCAACGTGAGTTGCCGAAGATCCTTAGCTGGTTGATGGTTTTGTGAGCCTTTTCTTCCAGGGACCTGAAGTTCTTGTTGAGTAGGAGCTTTCGGTCCAACCATACTCCCAGCCATTTGGCTTCTGTCAATGACTTAAGGCGTTGAGCCCCAAAGGGGAAATCCCCCTCCGGTACCTTGCCTTTGGATAACCAGAGGAACTGTGCCTTGGCCTGGTCAAAGATTGCCCCGTGGGAATCACCCCATCTGAGTGAGCGTTGACCTTCCTCTATCAGCAGCCCTCTGGCTACCTCCGCCGAACTCGCCGCGACCAGATGGGCCACGTCGTCCACATAACCTATGGAAACCGAATCTAGTGAAGTGCAAAATGTTTTATTCAGCAGCGAGTTGTTGTACAAGGTATATAGAATCACGGAGAGAGGAGAGCCTTGGGGGAGTCCAATTTTGATGGGGAAGGCTGTCGAAGTAAAATCGTCTAATCTGATTGTTGTTGACCTGTCCTTCAGAAAATCGGCAATGGTCAATATCAATATGTTGGGCATTTCAAGCGAAACAAATAGTCAATGAGCCTATCAGGGTGTACTGAAGGATACGCCGACTTCACATCAAGGAAAAGTGCGGCTACAACCTTCCCTTCCCTCCATTTCGACTTGACCCAGTGCTCAAAGGCAAAGAGCGCGTCCTCCGTTCCTGAACCTTTGCGTCCGCCAAAATGGCCATCCGCAAGCACCCCGGCTTCTTCGGCCCACGCCGAGATCCGCCTGGCGAGTATGAGCTCAAACAATTTACTCATGGTGCTGAGTAATGCGATGGGGCGGTACGCCCCCGGGTTGGTGTAGTCAGATTTACCGTGCTTCCGGATGATTGCCGTAACTGCGACCTTCCATGACGCCGGGAATTTACTGCATATTAGTATATTATTGCACAGTTTAGCCAGGTTATCTGCTAGAGGAGCGGAAAAAGACTTAAGAAGTTCATTGGCAATTCCATCTATTCCTGGGGCTTTCCTCGGACGGATTCTCTGGATTGCCGAGGCGACTTCCTCCTTTGTTATCGGGGGGTAGCTGCCGAATCTACAAGACAAGTCCAAATTTACGTCTGATAGATCAATTGGAGCATTCGTCACTGAAGTGCCGGTGAAAAGCAACTTAGCCTGCTGGTGTTTGTCGTGCACGACCACGCCGCCTTCGCCCTTCAGGGGCAGAACCTCCCCTCCCGATGACTTTGACGAAAAACGGAGAACTCTAAAGAGATCACCCTCTTCTGGGTTCTCCAGAAGTCGCCTCCATTTCTGCTGCTTCAAGGACCTGACAAGCAAAAGGAAATAATCATTCCACTGCTTATAACAATCGCAGGCTTCAGGAGACTTAGCTAGTAACATCCACTTCCGTGCTTGATTCCGGGTACGGAGAACCGGGTCCAAGGTTTCGCGGCACCACCAAACTTTAGCCTTGGCTTTATTGGACTGGACCTTACGTCCTAGGTGCTCCTGGGCCTGTTTCAGACAAGTTGTTAGTTTTTCGGCATGTATGTCCGGATCATCTGGGGCCTCGGAAGCAAAGGACAATAACTTAGCAGAAATGGAATATATCTTCTTCTTATCCAGGCATGACCACTTCGGGAGTCTCCAGTGGTAGGAGGGGGATGGCCGCTTCATTGTGAGTTGGATTTGGATCGCCTGATGATCAGATCCAAAGTTCTCACTCGAGACCGCTGTCGAAGCAACCAGCTTGGATCCTAAAAAGTTGGCCCAGATCAGGTCAATTGTGTACCCTTTCCCTTTGGAAGAAAAGAATGTGGGGATGTGTCTCGGCGATGTGAGGCGAAAACCAAAATAAGAGAGAGAACTTAGCAGATTGCGAGCTTCTTGCTCATTTTTCCGAACGCCCGGGGGGTTCCAATGCCTATGATGCAGATTAGCATCCATAGCAATGATCATCGCCTGTTGTCGAGAATAGAAACGCGTCAGCCAGTTCTTTAATTCGGGGACTGCAGAAAACGTGGATGGAGGGTTGTAGATGTTCAAGAGCCGGAAGACTTTTCCCGAGGAGTGTCTCACTTCCACCCCAACAAAGGTTTGGGAACCCCCCTCAAGTAATCTGATTGATTCTGAGGGGATCGACCGCTGTATGTATATCACAGCCTTATGTCTTTCATTCCAACATTTGGGCACATGTTCATAGGCAGCATATGAGCGCCAGGCCGAGTGTTGCGGCGGGCAGAGATCAATCGAGTTGATCCAAGGCTCCTGAAGCAATAAGACATCAAAAGAAAATGAAGAGTTTAAAAGACTTAGCGTGACAGATTGCGACACATGGCAATTCAGGTTGAGTAGAGAGAAGTTGTCGGGGTTGCGATGCTGAGAAAGGGATGAGGCGGAGAGGTCCTGACGGAGAGTATCGGCAGAGATGATACGAGTAGGCGGGTCTGGTGAGGAGACTTGAGAATGACGATGGGAATGGTGGGGAAGATTTTCTTGGGTTACTTCGGTTGTAACTATCATTGAGACGGTAAGGGCTTCTTGTCGAACCATGCCTTCTTGTAAGGGCATGTCATGCTGAAGGGGGTGTGTTCAGTGCTGTTGACACCGGGGATGTTGTTCTTGAGGCCTGCTGTGCATAACACACACGTCTTGACTCCTCCGATGCCATCAGGGCACTCGTTAGTTGGGTGTTTGCCCGCGCATCTCGCGCAACGGGCCTCCTCTCGGCACCACTTGCCGAAGTGTCCCATTCGCAGGCACTTGAAGCACTGGGGGGGACGGGGCTTGAAGCGTTCAGTGCGGTGGAAATCGAAATTCAAAAATATGCCAGACTGCTCAATGCGGTATGCCAGATCTTTGTTGACAAAAGAAAGCACCAAGGAGCCTGCTTTCTTGGCCGATGGTTCGTTCGAACCCATCCAGCGAACTCGAGTCAAATCCGACGCCTGGAAACTGTTCTCGGAAGCAAGGAGGTTCAGATTCGCCTGTTTGCTGATGTCGAACGTCTTGGGAATGCCGTGCGCCATTACCGAGTATGTGCTTGGGGTGGCTTCAAGATCCGGATGGACCTCCTTAGACCACACGTGCTTGTTGGTCATCAACCATTTCTGGTGGGCCCGATTCTTGGTGTAAAAAGAAACATCCCCTGACGGCAGCATGCTGGCGCCACGGATGGCTACAGATTCTCCGTCAACTTTTGCGTCGAGCTTGATGAGCGCCTCATTAGCCCTCTGGACCAGAGCTCCTTTGGGCACGTCCTTGAGGGTGGTGTTCGCCGGGTTCGAGTGGATGATCACTCTCTTCGGTTTGAGCGATGCGATGGTCTGAGCGGGTGGGGGACGCGTGTTCGGCACGTTCGGCGCGTGGATTGAACCAGTAAGGCCTGCTGAAGTCACAGACGCGAAAGATTTGGATGCGACAGCCGCCGGCTTGGAACCAGATTTGAAGATCTTCTCGAACTCGGCCATCTTCTTGGCGATAGGGTCAACTTTAGCATCGACCTTGGCGTTAAGCTGATCGACGGTGGCCTCCAGACGGCGGATCATTCTCTCGTTATTCTCCGAGAGTTCCAGCAGTAGGTCCACGAATCTGGCGTCGAGCGTGACCGCGCCATTCTCGTCGCGTTCGCTAAGCGCCGTGGTGAGCAGAATGTGAAGGCTAGACACAGGGGGTTTGGTGACCGGGCGAGAAGGGAGATGGACTTCCAAGTCTTCCATCATGTTCGTGTTGTCCGCGGAACGCACGTCGGACAAGCGGTTTGGGTCGGGTGGGCGATTGGTGGGAAGCATGAGCTGCCCAAGGGGGTGGGGGGAGGGAAAGAACTTTTCTGATGTTAGTAGGGGGGGGGGTGGTGAGTTGTGTGGAATCGACGCGTGTGGTGGGGTTTTTTGTGGTTCGCGGCAGAAAAGTGACCTCTCCCCTCATCTTCCTTTTCTTTTTCCTTGTCGCTTGAACCACAAAGCTGCCATCAACCTCAATCCTCCTCCCATCAAATATGTATACCTTTCTTTCTTTCTTTCTTTAGCTCATAGCATGCCTACATACTGATTTCGCTTGGCAAAAATATTTACCACAGAACAATCCAGAATTAATTTGGGTCTCCCATAAACAGCAGACCCCCAAAAAGCATCCCTGATGTGTTCAAATCTATTTTCACAATGCTAGCTGGATGGTTTGCATGTAGCATCCCAGGGAGTCAGGAGGTTTGATATTGCAAAGTGTGGCTAGACTGGAATCAACCCTGTAGAATACAAATTTTACTCAGCTTTCTTTCAAACTTATATCAACAAGTCCCTCTTCACTCAGTTTCTCACCTTCAGTTCAGAAAGATTCAGGATGCAAGTGGGTTGGGTCAGGAGAATCTTCTGCAAAAACAGGAAGAGGGTAGTCTTGACAGGCCCAAGGCAATAAGATGATTTTGATAATATAAGATTCACTGTTGAAGAATGGTAGGAGTTATAACTGGATGGGAGGATTTTATGGTGCTTTTGTTCTGATACTTTGTCTTATTTGGAGAGCCCAAATGTATGATTAGAGGATGAATGTTTGTAAGATCAAGTTTTTAGAAAGGTTGCAGGGATTGTTCTGAATTTCTTTAAATGATTGAGACTCTGAATGAGAGTGGGATTGATTTTCACTGATTTCCTCTGGCCTATCTATAAACAATGTGCAACCATATTTCAGCGTCAGCTTGGGACAAATCCTCAGTGCTGGAATAGCATAACAGATTATCAGCATCATACCCTCAACCCCAATTGGTGAATTCCCAGCTTCAATTCCCACCGGATTCAACCCCCACCCCTATGAAGCTGCAAGCCACTGCAGTGCTCTTTGCTCTGGCTGTGATGGTCACAGCAGTTGCCCATGCACAACGGCCTACTCGGTGTGTCTGGTGCAGAAAAGCATACGGTGCCCCATGCGAACCAGATCTGATGCTGGAACTCAACCTTTCACCCACCGGTCCTTGTGGCTGCAAGTTTACCAAAAAGCCAGATTGTACAAACATAGTCCCCAAGGCAAATTTCCTCTGCCCACAGTGTTCAGCAGTATTCATAACAAATCCTGACTACCAAAACAAATCAGTTCCACGACCTTGTCATCACCCTTCAGTGAAAGTAATACGCAAAGGCACCTGTCCTGCTGCCGATGAGGACCAATACTTATAACACTAGTCTCAAACAACAACAAACCAATGGTTTGACTGTGGCATATTGAAAGGCTAAAAAAAAACACCCGCCACACAATATTTTTTTTTCACACCCTCCATCATTACCACCAGCACTAACATCAGAAAATACACCAGATCAACAACAGACATACCACCCCCTTCCAGTTCACCTGGATTTGTCCCAATAAACTCAGTTGTGAGGTGTATAAGTAGTCTCAGAGTGACATTCAGATCTACCTGGCCAGTTTACACTGAACTATCATATTTGATTCTTCAATCATCATTGGCCATCCCGAAATTTGATATAGAGTCTATTGGAATTGCTTTGTAAATTTTCCTGTTATAAATTCATGAGAATTTGATATTTGCTTTCTGAAATTCAGCGGAAATTTCCATAAAATAGGGGGTATCAAATATAACCAAATCCACCATTATTTGATTGACGGATTTTGAAAAATCCACCCTTTTTAAACATGCTGGTTCTTTGTATAACCCTTTTTGGGGCCTATTGATTCAAAAAAAAAAGTTTTGGGAAAAGTGACTGGTTTCTAATGGTGGATTTCTTATATTTGATACCCCCTAATGACTTATCATCATTTTTTATCCTATTTCTAATCTTGGAATGATTTTAGAACTTTGGAAGTATATCTTTTTTCTTCTATATTGTAAGAAAAGGGCACCCAAAAAGCAGATATCCACCAAGCCTTGAGACTTTCCTGGAAAATCAGTAAGAATAAGTTTCCAAGGTTTGGCTGCTGATTTTTGAAATCAATACAATATGTAGCTATCATTTTCTAACAATTAACTCTGTGAACCAGGCTAGCTGAATTCCTTGTGCACCTATATTTTAGCTGCAGATTGGCACAACTCCTCACCGCTGGAATAGTGTAACGGATTAACAGCATCACAACCTCAACCCCACTTATCCACTTCCCAGCTTCAATCCCCACCAGAATCAACCCGTGCCACCATGAATCTGCAAGCCACTGTGGTTCTCTTCACTCTAGCTGTCATGTTCACTGCAGTTGTCCAAGCAGCACCACCTCCTCTGTGCCCCTGGTGCAAAAAGGCATATGGCATCCCATGTACATCAGAACAGATGACAAAATTCAAACTCACACCCAGTGGTCCATGTAACTGCAAGTTTCCCTCAATGAAAAACTGTCCAAACATAGTCCCCAAGGCCAATTTCGTCTGCATAGACTCAAATTGTTTGGCAATATTCTGCATAAACCCTGGATACACAAACAGAAAAGCCCTTCGACCGTGTTATCACCCTGTAGCAGATGTCATCTGCCGAGGCATTTGTCCTGCTGCTGGAACTTCTGAGCCAGGGCCCTCCAAACCTAACAATAATAATCATGATTATGAAGATGAATGAAAACACTTCTTCATCCCTTCCTGGTTGGCTAAATTGGTACACACAACAAATCCATCATTGGAAAAGGCTCAAAAACCACCCGCCACACAATATTTTTGGTCACCACCTCAACCATTCCAGTGGACTTATATTAAAACATACACACAATCAACAATTCATATACTCCCCCTTTTAATTCATCTGTATTTCAGCCAATAAACTTCCTTGTGAGGTGTTCTAGTCTCAGAGGGACACTCACATTTACTTGGTGATTAGGCGCTGAGATATCATATTACTCAATGATCATCAAAGTGAACCTCTTGAACTTTGATGTAGAGTCCATTGGAATTGATTGGGAATTTTTCCAGCTAGAAGTTCAGTAGAATTTGATCTGTTTTGTGAAGTTCAGTGGAAATTTCCATGAAATGAATGTGCCTATTTTATCATCAGTCATTATCACATTCTTATCTTGAAAGAATTTTACTGAAACATATCTTTTTGCAGTTATTTTGAGACAGCTTACAAGGGCCAACTGTTTTTTTTTTTTTTCATTCATTCAGACATAGACTTTCAATTGAGCTTACCAAAGGCAACTATGAAAACTGTCAAAAAAATTTTGTTTGAGGGTGCAGTGAATTTGTGTATTTATCTTGGAACATTTGAAGTAGGAGCAGCCAGGGATTGGGATGGCCAGGATTCAAATATCAGAATTTTCAATTTATCTGCTATATAATACCACGCTTCCATGGATAACAGTCACCATCAGAAAATCAATGTGCACCAAAATATTGGAATTATCCATCAATGGATTCAGTTGCCTTTTGAGACAATTTTACAATGTTGGAGGTTCTCAAGCCACCACAAAACCCTATATAACCATATATCATAGGGTGGTGTACTCAGTGGATTTTCTTTGATTGAAAGTCCCACAAACCAATTCTTTTTCCACAAAAATTATTATTTTGCTCATTATGGGATCTTGCTTCAGGAATGCATCAATTCAAATATCAACACCAATTGTCTCAGGCTCAAGCAGACACAGTATATCCCACTTGCAATTATTTTTGAAACCACACAGTCAATATTCCAAGCATTCAATCCAGTTGTGCCAATTAGTTGATTGATGCTTGAGCATTAATGAATTTTAAAAAAAATCAAAGACATTGTCCAACTCCATCACCAATCTTCCTGTGAAAGGAACAGACTTCTTTTTTTTCTGTAGAATATCTTCAGCAGTATCAACTGCAGGCATACCTTTGTACTTCCCTGAAAAGAAATTTCTTATACTCCTTTGAGGAGAAGGTAGATTTTTTGAGTTCTGAGAGTTGTGATTTGTACCAAAGTTCTAGAAGATCCAGTGCCTCTATACTAGAAGTAAATTCTCCTATCTGCTTTGGCTTGGTCAAATAGACGTGTAACAACCTCTGAGCCTCATTAAATGCCTTTTTGCCACTGTTTATTGGTAGTTTGAACTTTGACTTGGGACTTGCCCAGGAGAGTGTCAGCCACAAGACATGTAGGACATGTTTAAATGTCTGCATTGGCTCATATTTCCATGAGTTGATTTAACATAGTGGTTTGATGACCACTTCAAAGTATGAGGTATATATTGATGGATGTACCTGAGTACCAGTGTCCTTGGTATCTTATTCTATACTTTAAATATTTTACATGTGCATTAAAAGCTTAGTCATGTCTATCTTCATTATCTGCTGTAATAAGAGAGATGATTACCAATGAGGATTAAATTATTTATCTCTCTCTGTATTGATTCACCCAGAGAGAGATGATTTCATTTCCTCCACTTTTGGTGTGATCATAATTTAAATGCATATTTTGATCATTGATGATTTAAATACATAAATGATCATCTGTGGAGCTGTCCGTTCCAACAGGCAGCCTGACCCCTTCCTTGCAATACTTAAGGGGAATGCTTTCCCTCTAGGATTCCTTCCCCCAGAGATTATTGCCATACAAACCTGTTTACCTTACTTAACATTAGTGAGTGGGGTTTTAGCAGTACACTCTCCCTTTTCTCTTTACCTTTTATCTTTATTATTATTCTACTATCCTAGACTACAGTTAATTCACTAATGTAGTCTAGAAGAGAGCCTCTTCTGATCTGCTCTAAGCTTGGCGCAGTGATGCTCATTCCACTGTCGTCCCCTCTCACCCAGGGAGCTAACCCCTCTGCTTTGTAGCATTGAGGTGAGGTTCTATTTCTACTGGCCCTTACAGGCTATAGTAAGACCCACAAAACC